TCGTGTTGAGAGTTGTTTACCATAGCTTGTTTGAACCTCAACCTACGAGTGGAAGCTGTTGTCGTGTTGAGAGTTGTTTACCATAGCTTGTTTGAACCTCAACCTACGAGTGGAAGCTGTTGTCGTGTTGAGAGTTGTTTACCATAGCTTGTTTGAACCTCAACCTACGAGTGGAAGCTGTTGTCGTGTTGAGAGGTATTTACCATAGTTTGCTTTACGTGAAATACAGTTAGTTTTATTTACATAAAGTTATCAAACAAAATAATTTCATTACGAGTGTTTTATGAGCTTCTGATAAACTCACCTTTTCACTAGACAACTATTCTTATCCACATATTCTTGTCACATAGAAATAAGATCAAATAAAACACGTTCAAAAATAAATGAAAATATAGCAATCATCAAGTTACTTTTTTTCATTGATTGGACCGGGGGCGACTTTCATGTTTCTTACACTCTGTGAGGAAAGTTTTCACGTCATTTTACTTTAAATGTTAACACACATATATTTATTTATATAATACTTTAAAGACTGTAAAATGTCACTTGAGAACTACTTTTCTGTATAATACTCTAAAGATTGTAAAATGTCACTTGAGAACTACTTTTCTGGTATAATACTCTAAAGATTGTAAAATGTCACTTGAGAACTACTTTTCTGTATAATACTCTAAAGATTGTAAAATGTCACTTGAGAACTACTTTTCTGTATAATACTCTAAAGATTGTAAAATGTCACTTGAGAACTACTTTTCTGGTATAATACTTCTAAAGATTGTAAAATGTTTCTTGAGAACTACTTTTCTGGTATAATACTTCTAAAGATTGTAAAATGTCACTTGAGAATTACTTTTCTGGTATAATACTTCTAAAGATTGTAAAATGTCACTTGAGAACTATTTTTCTGGTATAATACTTCTAAAGATTGTAAAATGTTTCTTGAGAACTACTTTTCTGGTATAATACTTCTAAAGATTGTAAAATGTCACTTGAGAACTACTTTTCTGGTATAATACTCTAAAGATTGTAAAATGTCACTTGAGAACTATTTTTTTGGTATAATACTTCTAAAGATTGTAAAATGTTTCTTGAGAACTATTTTTTCTGGTATAATACTTCTAAAGATTGTAAAATGTCTCTTGAGAACTACTTTTCTTCTAAATGATGTATGTTAACTATTTCTCTATCGCTGATAATGGCTTTATCTATTTATCTAGTCTTCTGGAGACTTGGCTTTTACAACCACATATATATATTCTTTATAACAATTTATAAATGTATTCTATGTATTCCGTGAAAATATATACTTAAATTAAGATTCTTACAAAATGGGTACAGTAACTTTTAATCAAACACAGGATAAGACTAATTGTAAAGTAGAAAGCTGATATCCTTTGTTATTCCTTCAGGCAAGCCAGAGGGATAACTCTATCCGCCAGACACTGACCAAAGTGAAGGTGCTCGTCGTGGACATCAATGACAATGTTCCCATCTTTGAATATGATATGTACAATATTACTGTAGTAGAAAATCTGCCGCCAGGATTCACTGTAGTGCAGGTGTTCGCTCATGATAAAGATATGGTAAGCCTATCTATGCCAAGTAAATTATTTAAAGAACCTATTGTAATTCATTATTCAGGTCGACATGTATAAATAGTGTCAAAATTCAGTTTGTGTTTTGAGTTATTGAGTGATTCTCTGTTTCTTGAAGAGGGGAAACTGCCAAAGGGGAAACGTATCCTCTCTCTTTTGGGTTCAAGTTTTTTTTTTTAATTCAAAATCAGATAAAAACTCTCCAGTGGCACAGCGGCATGTCTGCGGACTTACAACACTAGAAACCGGGTTTCGATACCCGTGGTGGGCAGAGCACAGATAGCCCTTGTGTAGCTTTGTGCATAATTCAAAACAAACAAACAAACCGAACTGTTCAGAGCCTTACGGATTTGTTTAATCGTTTAGCAAGTTGGTGGCGAAAAGTATTTCGAAGTACGATATAACAAACATTGAGGCCATCTTGGATTCCATTAACGCTAGAGGAGGTTGGAGTGCCCGGGACTATAAATTTGAATTACGTTTTGTTGTAAGACGGTTGTACGTGACAGAAGTAAACATCAAGACTGATCTATTATATCAAGTTGATTGGTTGGTTGAGCTACCTGTGATGTGCCCACCACGAGTGTCGAAACCCAGTTTTTAGCATTATAAGCCTTCAGGCTTAACACTGCGCTACTCAGGGGTTTATCATTGCAGTAATAACTAATACAATACATTTTTTTCATAAATTTCATACATTTACAACATTTAACATATCTTATTGATTCTAACTTCAAAACTGTGTGACAACCAGCTTTATTAAGATGTACTCCTTGTGTATAACATACTTTACTTCTTGTGTATAACATACTTTACTTCTTGTCTGTGTAACACACTGTACTTTTGTGTAACACACTGTACTCCTTGTGTGTAACATGCTGTACTACTTGTGTGTAACACACTGTACTCCTTTTCCATAACATGCTGTACTTCTTGTGTGTAACACACTGTACTCTTTTTGCATGACATGCTGTAACATACTGTACTTCTTGTGTGTGTAATATACTGTACTTCTTGTGTGTATAACATACTGTACTTTTGTGTAACACACTGTACTCCTTGTGTGTAACATACTGTACTCCTTCTGTGTGTAATAATGTTATACACACAAGTAGTACAGTAACTGTACTCCTTCTGTGTATAACATACTGTACTCCTTGTGTGTAACATACTGTACTCCTTCTGTGTGTAATATACTGTACTACTTGTGTGTAACATACTGTACTCCTTCTGTGTGTAACATACTGTACTTCTTGTGTGTATAGCATACTGTACTCCTTCTTGTGTTTAACATACTGTACTCCTTGTGTGTAACATACTGTATTCCTTGTGTGTAACATGCTGTACTACTTGTGTATAACATACTGTACTTCTTGTGTATAACATACTGTACTCCTTGTGTGTAACACACTGTACTCTTTCTGTGTGTAACATACTGTACTTCTTGTGTGTAACACACTGTACTCTTTCTGTGTGTAACATACTGTACTCCTTGTGTGTAACACACTGTACTCTTTCTGTGTGTAACATACTGTACTCCTTGTGTGTAACACACTGTACTCTTTCTGTGTGTAACATACTGTACTTCTTGTGGGTATAACATACTGTACTTCTTGTGTGTATAACATACTGTACTTTTGTGTATAACATATTGTACTCCTTGTGTATAACATACTGTACTTCTTGTGTGTATAACATACTGTACTTCTTGTGTGTATAACATACTGTACTTCTTGTGTGTATAACATACTGTACTTCTTGTGTGTATAACATACTGTACTACTTGTGTGTATAACATACTGTACTTCTTGTGTGTATAACATGCTATACTTCTTGTATGTAACGTGCCATAACATACTGTACTTCTTGTGTAACATATACTTTAGTTTTTGTGTATCATGCTGTACTTCTTGTGTGTAACATGCTGTATTTTTTGTGGGTAAAATGCTGTACGTCTTGTGTGTATCATAGTGTACTTGTGTGTAAAATGTTACTTCTTGAATATGAAGGGTGACAACGCAAGGTTTCAGTTCAAACTGGAAGATCCTTCTCGAGCCTTCTCGGTGGATGAAACAAGTGGCTGGATCAAGGTTCATGACCCCTCGAAACTGGACAGGGAAACCAGAGATTTGTTAGTTCTAAAGGTAAAAGTTTTAATATCTAGAACTCTTCTGTTTCACTTTACAAATGATCAATGATTGTACTCGTGTGATTTTCTAGCTTATAGCTACACGAATTAAATGTTTTATAATAAATATAATACTTTTTGTTTGCCTCAAGGTTCTAAGTTAATTTATTCTTCTTCAGTGTGACAGATGTTTATTAAAAATAATAGTCTTGCTCTCATTTGTAACACAAATAAACAAAAATTAAAAATTAGGTTACACTTTTATAAAGAAGATAAGACCGAGAAACAAAAGACACGAGTTATAACCGAGGTAAGACGGACATCACGATATCTGGAACAGAACATACCTGTTCTTACTTATGGAATACAGACATATCGAACAGCCTGCTTTATGAATAATGAACGATTTCAGTTTAATGTTTGTGGGTTAACGTGTTGTTATAAACATCGTATTTGTGTTTCCTTGTACGAAATGTTTTCATTTATGTTTAGGTTATCAGAACATACATGTTTATGTAGTTTCTACAATCACGGTAGTAACTGTACATTATAGTAAAGTTCTTATCCAATACGTCCTTATAAGACAGCTTCATAACCTGTACGTATATCGTATCTGACAACTTAGAAATAAACAAATCTTTTATTATTGTTAAATTACAATGAACTCCACACAGTTACCAGCTAATCCACCTTTTGGTAATCTGAACGAGTACTTAAATTAATCTGTACGAAGTATCTCCTCCTCATCTGCAATGTCTTCTATTCTGTCCTTAGGTGATCGCCAAGGAAGTGGTGCCAAATGTCAACCCTCACGGTCCAGAGAGTTCTGCTGAAGTCCACATTCATCTCCTAGATGCCAATGATAACAACCCATTTTTTATACCAAGCTCCGCCTATAACTTCGTCGTGACAGAAACGGACCCAACAGGAAACCTTATTGGCTTTGTATGTTTAGATGTTCGGGTCCAGGAAACCTTATTAGCTTTGTATGTTTAGATGTTCGGGTCCAGGAAACCTTATTAGCTTTGTATGTTTAGATGTTCGGGTCCAGGAAACCTTATTGGCTTTGTATGTTTAGATGTTCTTTGGGTGAAGATCCTAGCGGAATTTTCCTTGAAAAAAAATGTATATTTCGAATAAGAAATAATTAATGTTTCTAAGTAGCGACTGTTTGAAAATATAGGATACATCATGGGAGGGTAGAACCGCAGAAACTGACTTATTCTAACAGTAAGTCGTGGGTTCTCTGTATCCTCACATTAAAATCATCAGTATTCTTGTGGACTGTTGGTCAAGATTTGCAAGAAGATACTTCAAAAAGTTCTATTATAGATCTACTTTGTTGGCTGAATGTTAGTAATAACATATGAAGGCTGCGTATCGTTATGCATATCAGAGAGCCGAAACAAAACCCACAACACCCAAACGGACAACAGCAATAATGTTGACTCTAGAGTTATGTTTACAATTACCTGATAATACCCACAACACCCAAACGGACGACAGCAACAATGTTGACTCTAGAGTTATGTTTACAATTACCTGATAATACCCACAACACCCAAACGGACGACAGCAACAATGTTGACTCTAGAGTTTTGTTTACAATTGCCTGATAATACCCACAACACCCAAAAGGACAACAGTAATAATGTTGACTTTAGAGTTATGCTTACAATTACCTGATAATACCCACAACACCCAAACGGACAACAGCAACAATGTTGACTCTAGAGTTATGTTTACAATTACCTGATAATACCCACAACACCCAAAAGGACAACAAGAACAATGTTGACTCTAGAGTTCTGTTTACAGTTGCCTGATAATATCCACAATATCCAAAAGAACAACAGTAACAATGTTGACTCGAGAGTCATGTTTACAGTTGCCTGATAATATCCACAATACCCAAAAGAACAACAGTAACACTGTTGACTCTAGAGTTACGATAAAAATAGCCACAGGGTACCGAATTAAGCAACATAACCCATCATGGGTTTAGGTAACTTGCCCATTATTCTAACTTTGGATAAAACATCGGGATAAGCGATATATATAAAACATTGATATGAAGAACGATAAGTGATATTATCTTTTGTAACGAGTAATTTTTTGATAGGTAATGAATACATCTCCTTCCGTTAGTAGAATGGCGGGAACTTATTTTTTATGGTAAATGTCTGTTGTTTTCTAGATTTATACGTGCTACCTGTTAATGTCTTGAATATAAGGTTATATATATATATATGTAATATTCTAACAAGTAACTGTTTTGAACTTTTCTTAAAGGTAAAAGCTGTCGACCCTGATATTGGGGCTAACGGTATGGTCCATTATTCTAAACAAGACGATGGATTAAGTAAATCCGCTCCTTTCGGCGTGCATCCTACAGATGGATCTGTGTACGTTCTGGAAAAGTTTTCAAAAATACGACAGAAACCACCCCAATACACCTTCTTTGTCGTCGCCACCGACTCGGCCGACATTGGACATGAACGAAGGTATGCTCGTGTTTTATTGTCTCCCACCCCCTACCCCAGAACATTCAGTTTTGTGCTACAATATCACCGAATCTAAACATACTAATGTACCTAACAATTACATAAGGGTGGGTGTTAAGTTCCGTACAGATATCTGCAGGAATTTTCTAAGAATTAGTCGGAGGACCTGTGTTTTGTTGAAACAATTCTACAGGAAACTGTTTAATATCTGTGAAGGTTTTCTTGTTTAGGAACTCATGTAACCGGTGTTGATTTAATACTTGTAATATAGCAAGTGTAAAAAGCTTCTTTCTTCAAGACCTCACACTAGTCTGGTCGGATGTTTACGGTGGTCTGGAGTTGTATTTTATTTGTTCTTATCCAAGGGTGAAACACTAGTCTGGTCGGATGTTTACGTGGTCTGGAGTTGTATTTTATTTGTTCTTATCCAAGGGTGAAACACTAGTCTGGTCGGATGTTTACTGTGGTCTGGAGTTGTATTTTATTTGTTCTTATCCAAGGGTGAAACACTAGTCTGGTCGGATGTTTACAGTGGTAGGAGTTGTATTTTATTTGTTCTTATCCAAGGGTGAAACACTAGTCTGGTTGGATGTTTAC